TTGTCCCTAAACTTTGATTTGTACTTACAGGTCCTACCTTCTGGAATGCCTAAGTCCTCCCATTTGCTTAGGAAAGAAACCTCCCATGAAAAGCCCTAACTTTAAAACCAAGCTTGCCCTTTAGGCCAGAATAGAATATTCCTCCAGACTAAGCTTTCACTTAACATTCACATTGACATTGTAAATGTCGGCTTATTTCTCTTCTCCAATGGACTAAAACCTCCACAAGGGCAGAGAATGCGTCTTTGTATTGCAAAGCTCTGAGCTATAACAAAGAAGCTAATCTGTTAAATGAATGAGCCGGCAGCAACTCCTACCAATCAAGTCAGGTAAACATCCTCAGGACTCTTAAAGTGAGCCTACCAAGACCACAAACTATTCAGTGCCTTCAAAACAACACAACACTACCGTGCTCGGGGACTCTCAAAAACACTTCAAAATCTGAAAGAGGGGAACCAGGAGTAAAGCAAACCCACCCTGTACTCCTTTGCCCTCGGTGTACTTACCATACCTTTATATTAGCCAGTTCCAAATTCAAACAGCGGAGACTACGCTAACATGAAGCTGCTGAAACTGAATATACTGCATAATTTTTTACTGGCAAAAATATATTTATTTGCCCCATTAAAGTAATTATAGTATTCTCTCTGTTCTCAAATACTTATTAGTATTATTAATATATACTGAGGCAAGAACTCATTAAAAATTCACATCAAGAATATTAAAAATCTTTAGAAAAAAATAGAAAAGTTATGCACCAGGAAAAGTTATGCACCAAGAAAACAAAAAGGTTACGCACTAGGATCCATTCTAAAGGCTTTATGTTCAACTCCTCATTTAGTCTTCACAGTAACCCTACGAAGTAGGTGCTATTATTACCCCTTTTACAGATGGAGAAAATTGAGACTTAATCAGATTAAGTAATTTTCATTATCCAAGGTCACACATTTAGGATGCAAAGACTATTTGCTCCAGAGCCCAAGCTTTTAATCAATACCAAACTACACAACTACTGTTGCGTGGACCTACACTTAGTTTTTCCTGTTTCTGCTGTATGCATATACATACAGAGAAAAAGCACACTAAAGTGTTAACAGTGGTTATCCCTTGAGCGGGAAAAACAGGTCTACTCTCCAAATATAGTATAAGCCTACTATAGTACATATAGTACAGTGTTACTTTCAATTATTTAAAAAAGCAAACAAGAGAAATAGTATTTAGATGTTGCTCCTAGAAAAGAAAGGTGGAGACCAGGCGTGGTGGCTCACATGCGTACTCCCAGCACTTGAGGAGACTGAGGTGAGCAGATCCCTTGCGTCCAGGAGTTTGAGACCAGCCTGGGTAACATGGCAAAACCCATCTCTACAAAAAATACAAAAATTAGCTGGGCCATGATGGTAAGTGCTTGTAGTCCTGGCTGACTACAGGCACACCTGAGGTGGGAGGATCACTGGAGCCCAGGAGGTTGAGGCTGCAGTGAGCTGTAATCATGCCACTGTACTCCAAGCTGGACAACACAGTGAGACCCTGCTACAAAAAAAAAGAAAAAAAAGAAAAGAAAAGTGAGCTAGTGGAATTAACATTTAATGAGTACCTATTATGGGCCAAACACATAGGTAACTCATGTAAACCTTAGATCAACGAATTTTATTCCCATTTTCAGTTAAAGAAACCAGATTAAGTAACTTGCCCAGCAGAAGGACTGGGATCAGAACTCAAAGCCCAGTCCAAAGGTGTCACTGCTGCTACAAATAAAATTGCACCAAAACAAACCACAGCCGGGGGCAGTGGCTCGTGCCTATAATCCCAGCACTTTGGGAGGCCGAGGCAGGTAGATCATGAGGCCAGCAGTTCGAGACCAGCCTGGCCAACATGGCAAAACCCCGTCTCTACTAAAAATACAAAAATTAGCCAGGTATGATGGCAGGTGCCTGTAATCCCAGCTACTCCGGAGGCTGAGGTAGGAGAATTGCTTGAACCCAGGAGGTGGAGGTTGCAGTGAGCCGAGATCGTGCCACTGCACTCCAGCCTGGATGACAAGAGCAAGATTGCATCTCAAAATTTTTTAAAAAATCACATTCTGCGAAAGGATGAGAACCAAGTCATCTGTCACCTTTGGTGCAAGGAGGGAAAAGTGGGAGGCTTAAGGTTTTAAATTGAGTATCTCCCCAGTATCTCAAACTAGCCAGGGGTCAGAAATCAGCCTTTACAGTCAGGACCTCTAGGACAAACTCCTACTTGAAGGAGTAAGGAGACTCTACTGCTGTTTGTTTTGCCTAGCACAGAACTGCATGCTAAAACTGACTTAACACTGGGGACAATTTGCTGCTTCCAACAATATTCAGCTACTGTTTTACCAGTTATCAGGTGTGGGGGAGGGGGAAAGAGAAGTGTCTGAGAATACTGCTCTAACTGTATTCAAATATAAGTGACCTTTCACTAGCCATAACCATTGTACCAAACCTAGATAGTGAGAGCTGGCAACCCTCGGAGAACATCTCAGGTAGAATAAATAGTTCAGCATTTTTCTTGAAATGACATTAATTTTGGATGCTCTCAGAAATGTTTAATTCCTCCTAAACTAAAATTTTCATTTCTCTAAAAACAGTAGCAACATGATTTGCTGAGAAAAAGTTGGAATGAAGTATACAAATTTCCTCCTAAAAAACTTCCAGAGGAAAGAAAACTTATTTCAGACTTGTAATTATACTAAACATTTACTTTTTAAACTAACATTTAATAGTTAAAAAAAAAAAAAAGCATATTCCCTTAGTAATGTAACGTTAATTCAGTATTTGCCCTGAAAATCTTTTATTAGTTTCAAATGGAATGTAACTTTTAAAAACATCAAATCTGTCATTACTCCAGGAAGTAAAGTAGCCCATTAGGTGATTAGGTTAGGAAATTTACGTATATTTGAGACAGGGTGGGAAAAAGTACAAAACTTTTTTGGTATTTGTACATATAGTTTTGGAAAGCTTAGGAATGTGAAGTCAACAATATACTTTTAAAATACCAAATTATAAGGCAATAACAATTTTTTTCAAACTTTAAAAGTCTAAGAAAAAAGACTAAGAATGATTTTTTTCCATCCAGTATGCTCTAACAACAAACTATAACAGAAGTAACAATTTTTGGTACACCTTTATGAAAATGTCCAAGTCAATAAGCAATTTCAATTAATCAATAAAGTTAAAACAACCATTAAACGTAATTTGCATTTTTGTATCAGATCCATACAATCTCAAATATCAAGACTTTCTTAAGCTCAATGCTAAATGACCGGATATCTATCATTGTGGAGAAACAGTTTGATGTTAGGCAGACCAAAGGAAAAGAAAGGCATACACCTAGAAGAATCACTTCAGTCTCACTTAGAAGCCTCACAGAAGTCAGCATTGAAAGTCGTAGGTTACCCATTGCCCTGAAAGTGGCAGCTTTTCACTAACAGTGCTGGGGGCACTGAATGGGCAGAATGTGGGACATCTCCTGCCAGCAAACTCCAGCCTGCTACCAAGCAGGACACTGCACAGACACAAAACACCCTGCCCTAAGCTCACCAAAAAGAGAAGGAAAAAAACCCAAGAAATAAACGACGGAAAATAACCTCTCCAAACACGCCCACAGTGGGGGTTGGCAGTGGGGGCAGGGTCCATTAACATTTCAATTTCAACACTCAAGAACAACGACAAGGAGGTGAGAACAGCCACGGGAAACATCCTGTCCCTGAAAAGCGGGAAATCGAGTTTGGAAATTTGTGTTTATCACTCTTTTTTAGCGTTCAGAGCTCAGGGCACCAAAATATAGCTAAAATTGAATCAATTTAAACAGAAAACATAGAGAGGTGTGTGTGTGTGTGTGTGTGTGTGTGTGTGAGAATATGTGTATAAATACATATAAAATATATACATACACATATATATTTTTTTCCGGTATAAATGTTATAGACACACACACACACACACATCCCAAAACCAAAGTGTAGTTTTCCAAGGGCTCTTCCACAGACCCTTCTAAGTTGTGGCAATAACAAGTTTAGGTTTCCTTAAAATCTCCATTATTCTATTTCTAGTATCGAATATAAGAATATCACATAAATCTAAATAGTGATTATCAGAATAAACGAACTACTGATCCTGAAACTGTAGACCTTGTTTCAGGAGCTGCCCTGCCCACTTCCTCCCCCTCCTCCCAATCCCGGAGGCTTCCAAGCCGTCTGACAACCACTTCTCCCCCTTGGGATCTGTTCCGGTGTTGGTTTTACCGGTCAGCGACCAAAAAAGAGGGGAAACTCCTACATCTGGGGACTGCTCCAGAAACCCCGCCTGGTCCTGCCCCTCTGACAGTCTCCTCGGTGTTCCCTACATCTTCCTCTCCGCCGGAGCTGTCCAGAAGGGGGATTTTGGACCCAAAGGAGTCAGGATGAAAGGGGGTGGGTACTCAAGCTGAAAATAACACCCCCAGTTGGTGGGGTAAGGGCTAAAAAAGGCAATAGGGAAAGACAGTCCGGCAGTAACACTACCTGAGTTTACCTCCTTCCCACCCCAAAAAGCCCAGTCACTAACTAATAAAGCTAAGAAAAGCCCCTTGCAAACTTTTCCAAACCGGAAGAGAAGGCCCTCTCCCCAACCTGGGGGGCTCTAGGGGGAACGGGCTGGAGTTGGCAGCCCCGAAAGGGCTCGCAGGGAGTTGGGTGGGGCGCGTGCGAGGGGTGCAGGGGCGGAGTACCTTCTTCAATGGACAGGAACTGGCAAAGAGTTTCAAAATAGCCGAGTGCGCTCCCCCACGCCCTGGGGGGTCCCAGGCGCTAGGACCAAGGCTCCCCGGAGAGACAGCGGCCCCCAATTCGGGCCTAAAAGGAAACTTTCTGGGCCGCGGCTGCACCTGACTCCTCACCGCCCCTCCACCCGACCCCACGCCCGCCAGGCCGCCCGCCCCGCCCCGCCCCGGCCAGGCCGTCCGGAGCGCGGAGGAGGGGGACAAATAAATTCAACTCTTACCGGAATCCGGGGGGCGTCTGCTAGATGCCCGAGGGAAGTGGGGTCGGGCGCCCATTCCCCACTCCTAGGCCCTGACGCCCCTGTCCCGGCAGCTCGGGCCTGCCGCCCCGCGGGAGAACCTCCGGGCCGGCGCGGGATTCGGCCCCGCAGCGTCGCCGTCGCACCCGGAGGCCCGGGGGACTCGAGGGGGCGAGCGGAGGCCCGGGGTGCGGGGGCAGGGCGCGGCCGCTGTGGGGCCTACCGGCCCGAGGCCTACCGGCGCACCCCCTCCCGTCGCACACCCCCACCCGGCCCGCGCAGGCCGCGCCGCTCGCCCCGCTCCGGCTCAGGCTGCACCCCTGCCCACCCGCCGTCCCAGCCCTCGGGCGCCCCGGAGGCCCTCGGGCCCCCGGCCTCCACCACCCGGCGCCGGCCCCACTCACCCTTTCATTCTCCGCCCGGGGCCTGGCGTGGGCCGGCGAATCCCCGGCCTCACGTAAGCGCGCTCGCCGCCCGCCCAGCCCGCGCGGCCCAGCCCGCCGCCCTACGGGAGCCCGGGGATGTGGGCCGGGCCTGGGGCCGCCTCTGCTTACCTTTCAGCTGCTTTTTTTTTTTTCTCCTTCCCCCCTTTTCCCTCGGCTGGGCTGACAGATCAGAGTGAGAGGCGCTGGCAATGGACTAGGAAGCTCGGCTGCCGCTGCTACTGTCCCCCCTGGGCTCCGGCGAGAGCCTTTCCCTGTCAAGCAAGAGGGGTGAGGATCATATTTTTATTTTGGAAACTAAAAAGTGCTCCCAGGGTCGGTGATTATTAAGGGGAAATCCCTGAATATACTCTCCAGCCAAGAAGGCAGGGCTGCCGGGGCTGTACAAGAAGAGGCAGCAGCCTCCTACAGCACCACTACAGGCACTGCGAGGACATAACACCAGAGAGCTGCTCCTCTGCCCTCCGAAACGACAACTTTCCTACCATCTTGGAGGCAGAGCAAAGGGGGGCCAGGGGGAAAAGTGCACCCGCTCCCGATAAAGTACAAATTTTTACTTCTCATCTCTGGAAAAAAGTCCACAGCGGCCGTCTACACCGGCGCCTGGGGGAGAAAGCAGGGAAGAAACTGGGGGTGCATGAGAAACGTATTCATTTGCTCCAGGGGGAAAAATGTTTCTGCATCTTCTGATGGAAAGAAATCTTTACAAGACACAGGTTTTCCGGTGATTATTATTTTCTATTTTCTACTTTTAATTTTTTTCATGTTAGGGACAGTGATATTTTAATATTTTTTCAGACCAATAATTTTTCTCCATTACAGGGCTAAGTTCTGTGGTTGGTGGTCAGTTTATAAATTTATACTTAAAGAGACTTAATACTGACTTCATTTATTTGTCTAGTTATGTTATTGTATATATAAATATTTATGTTTCATATATTACATATAAAAATTTGTGTTATATGTTACTCTCAAAACAGATTGCTGTAAGACAATTATAAAAAAGATGTTTTTCGTCTGTTTCTCAAAGCAATGTAAATAAAACCTATGGACTGTCCAGAAAGTCATGATACAGTGTGTCATTTTCCACAGTGCAAATAAAGGCAAATATCACTGGGGATTTAAAAACAGCCCGTTTCTGGGAATTCTGTTATGATCTGCCTATGAAGAAAGATTACGGTAAAACTGGAAAGAGATTTTGAAGACAGCCTTAGATTTTTCTTTAAGTAAATAGCTTATTAAGAATTATATCCAGGCATTTAATTTTTTTATTTATTTAGATTCTTTAAACTCTAGCTAGATCTTTGGTACATTACACAGGTTCCTGCCTGCTTCTTGTGTCACAGAATTGAGAAATGTTATTTTTGTTAGAGTTATGTTAGTTCAGAACTTCCAATATGCTGCCAGCCTGTATGAGTGACTTTTTGTATATTGCAGTGGATGTCATGAATTTACTTTTTTAAATGAGCAAAGTTTAGTAGATAAATGGGATCAGAGTTAAACAATGCTGAGTTAGCACAGTGATCAGAGGGAGGAAGGGTACTCACTTGCATCAATTGCAAGAGAACTCTTACTGGAGGAGTTCTTACTGAATTCCAAAGACATTTTTCTATTTTTGTGAAAAGAAAAATAACAGAAAACGAACCGACTATCTTTGTATATTCTACTGGGGATGATGATTTAAATCTTGTACTAAAAGTTATTTTTCTGACATGTTACCTAGGTGGCAGGAATGAATTTGTTATATTAGTGTCTTGAATCCATAGAATATTTCTTTGTAAAGTTTATTATAAAGTATTTAGAAATAACATCCAAATTTAGAAATTGTCCTAACTTAAAAGTGAGTTCAAAAAAAAAAAAAAGTGAGTTTATGTAATTCATATATCAGATATTTATTAGTTTCTAGCTGAACCCCATCTTTATCATATAACTTTGAATATAGTACTTACCTATTCTGGATTTTCTTTTGTGGTTTTCTTCCCTCTCTGTTTGGTGGAAAAAGTTATGTAAAGTAAAATTAACTGATTCTTATCATCTTGGAAACCTCAGTTGTGAAGTTATGTTCTATTTACAATACTTTTTTTTAAACATTTGGACATCAAACACATTAGTTATCACAAGGAAATTACCTCCCTTAACTAGACCTCTACTGGAATTGAAAAAATATGTTTTCTTTTTTTTTTTTTGAGACAGAGTTTCACTCTTGTTACCCAGGCTGGAGTGCAATGGCACGATCTCGGCTCACCGCAACCTCCGCCTCCTGGGTTCAGGCAATTCTCCTGCCTCAACCTCCTGAGTAGCTGGGATTACAGGCACGCGCCACCATGCCCAGCTAATGTTTTGTATTTTTAGTAGAGACGGGGTTTCACCATGTTGACCAGGATGGTCTCGATCTCTTGACCTCGTGATCCACCCGCCTCGGCCTCCCAAAGTGCTGGGATTATAGGCTTGAGCCACCGTGCCCGGCTTTTTTTTTTTTTTTATAGACAGGGTTTCACCACGTTGGTCAGGCTGGTCTTGAACTCCCAACCTCAGGTGATCTGCCCGCCTTGGCCTCCAAAGTGCTTGGATTACAGGCGTGAGCCACTACACCTGGCCAAAAAACATGTTTTCTAACAACTTATTTTTCTTTTCTTTTCTTTTCTTTTCTTTTCTTTTCTTTTTTTTGAGACGGAGTTTCACTTGTTACCCAGGCTGGAGTGCAATGGCGCGATCTCGGCTCACCGCAACCTCCACCTCCTGGGTTCAGGCAATTCTCCTGCCTCAGCCTCCTGAGTAGCTGGGATTACAGGCACGTGCCACCATGCCCAGCTAATGTTTTGTATTTTTAGTAGAGACGGGGTTTCACCATGTTGACCAGGATGGTCTCGATCTCTTGACCTCGTGATCCACCCATCTCGGCCTCCCAAAGTGCTGGGATTACAGGCTTGAGCCACCGCGCCCGGCCCTATTTTTCTTTATATATGACATGACTTTATGGATATGTTTTGAATTTTTCAAGAAATGAAAATGTGTTTGGCCAGATTCCATGGCTCATGCCTGTAATCCCAGCAATTTGGAAGGCCTAGGTGAGAGTATTGTTTAAGCCCAGGAGTTCGAGACCAACCTAGGCAACATAGCAGACCGTCTCTAAAAATAAAAATAAAATAAAATGTACTTGTTTGCATTAAGCTGGCTGCACCCTTTTTTGCAATGCCCCCTGTGACCAAAGAAACTTGTTTGCATGATGTCTGTCACTGGATAGGGCTATGCTGCATCAGTTTATTATTTCAGTGCTTTTCTCTTTATAAAGTTTGACTTGTGCAGACCTGTAAACTATGATGTTTATCCATCAACTGAGCAAAATATTCAAGACTTGAAGCTGGGCATGGTGGCTGTAATCCCAGCACTTTGGGAGGCCCAGACAAGTGGATCCCCTGAGGTCAGGGGTTCGAGACCAGCGTGGCCAACATAATGAAACCCTGTCTCTACTAAAAATACAAAAATTAGCTGGCCATGGTGGCGGGTGCCTGTAATCCCTGCTACTCAGGAGACTGAGGCAGGAGAATCACTTGAACTAGGAGGCAGATTGTAGTGAGCCAAGATTGAGCCATTATACTCCAGCCTGGGCGACAAGAGAGAAACTCCATCTCAAAAAAAAAAAACAAGAGTTGGAGGATTACAGCTGTCCAGAAGGAAATCTCACTAAATTTGTGATATTGATGAGGGTTTATTTCAGTTGAACTCTGTCTCAAAAAAAAGTGCTATGTCTGATTTGTAGAATCTGCAAATGCTAACAAAACTACTGTAGAATCTGCAAATGCTAACAAAACTACTGATATAATTTTATTTTTTATTAATTTTTTTTTTTTTTTTGAGACGGAATCTTGTTCTGTTGTCCAAGCTGGAGTGCAGAGGCACGATCTCAGCTCACTGCCACCTTCACCTCCAGGGTTTGAGCGATTCTCTTGTCTCATTCTCCGGAATAGCTGGGATTACAGGCACGGGCTACCACACCCAGCTAATTTTTGTATTTTAGTAGAGATGTGGTTTTGCCATGTTGGCCAGGCTGGTCTTGAACTCCTGACTTGGTGATTCATCCATCTGGGCCTTCCAAAGTGCTGAGATTACAGGTGTGAGCCACCGCGCCCGGCCTAAAACTACTGATATAATTTGAGGAAGCTATTTTTTCCCAATAAAATTTCCACTGCTCAAATTTGGCTACATTATTGAGCACTTAATGCATCTTGATAACCTTGCTGGATACTTTTATCTGTGTTTTCTCATTTAATTCCTTTAGCTCCAAAAGTATTACATTTTTCTTTTCTCTTGGAAAAAAAAAAAAAAAAAAACAGATGGGATAATTGTCTTTCCTGTCAGGGATCATGTACCACCTTGGCCCAAAAGCTCTACAATAAGATTGTCAATTCTCCTCTGTTTAGAGTGTCCAAGGTGCCTGTCACAATTCTCTGCACTATGCCTGAAGTGCTAGCTTTCTGCTCTATGCTGTTTGCCAAAAACAGACTTTGAGTAGCCAGCTGTTGGAGCCCCCTTCATTCGTTGGTGGCAACTAGTGGCTTATTTCACCTTTGTGAAGTCTAGCACCTAAATCTCAGTTGTTTTGAGGAGTGCAAATAAATAAGTATCAAGTGCATTATGATTAAGACTTTGTTCCTGATCCTGAAAACGAGCAGTATATGGTATAAAGCACGAACTTATTTATTCTATTATGCCTTAATTTCACAAATAGCTGTTTGGCCTTTAGTTAAAGTAGGAAATGCTTGCCTTAATTTTTTTTTTTTTTTTTTTTTGAGAGAGTATTACTCTGCCCAGGCTGGAATGCAGTGGTGCAGTCTCAACTTACTGCAACCTCCGCCTCCCAGGTTCAAGCTATTCTCCTG